AAGTATAAATTCTTTAATGATTCTCATTCCTCCTGCGCTCTGTCTTTTGAAATAAATCTTTTGTATGGCTGCCCCCCTTTCAAACGTTGCATCTCTTTCTCCCTCCGAAGTAAACCAGATGCCCGGTGTGTCAGCAAGTTGAGAATCTTTAAACCAGAAATATTTTATTGCTAAGGTAAAGCTTAGTTAAGTGTTTTACCTTTGGCTGTATTTCCTTTGTAAGGAGCTTCAAAGGAGGGAATTGTTCTGAATATCTTGCCCTTCCTTCATTTGGAATGATTCAGTTGTTCTATATTAATATGTTGTATTACAAAGCTGAAACCCAACACATTAACTGCAGTGTTACCATTGTAACGCTCTTGATGGGAGAAACCAGATTTTGGGGGGCTGATTCTTCCCTCCACCAATCTAAAATTAAACAAATAATATTCATAGATTGCAAATGGCATTTGGGCTTCTTTCTTTGGAAAAACTATTTTTAGGTAGGTCATTGTGTATGTATGTGGTGTAGAAGCAGTAGATGGGCTTTCTATGCAAAACCTGCTTACCAAGGATTAATTTAATCATGGTTTTTACCAAGTTAGCCTAGCTGTCTGGATTCATTTCGTAATCACAAATTAACGAACGGCATTTCTGCCTTGCTTGTTATAGGCCAGTGATGGCTAAACTTTTTTGGCTCGCGTGCCAAAAGCAGGGGGAGCACAGGGGAGGTCCCCCCCTGTTTTTGGCACACTTTTTTCACCCTCGCCATGCTCTAGAGCAGTATTTCTCAACCTTGTCAACTTGAAGATGTCTGGACTTCAACTCCCAGTATTCGCTGGCTGGGGAATTCTGGGAGTTGAAGTCCAGACATCTTCAAGTTGACAAGGTTGAGAAACACTGTTCTAGAGGCTTTCTAAGAACCTGAGGAGAATGAAAACAGCCTCCCGCGCCCCCCGGAGGCCTTCTGGAGGCTTCAGGAGCTTCCCAGAAGCCCCTGGAGCGCGAAAAACAGCCCTATAGACAAACCTGAAGTAACTTCCGGAGGGCAAAAAAACAGCCTCAAAAGAAGACCGAAGTCAGCTGTGCGTTGGAGATGACAGGGCAACGCCTCGCGAGCCCTAACAAATGGCTCCGTGTGCCACCTGTAGGTTCACCATCACGGTTATAGGTTGAGTTAACATATGTTGTATGGTCCATGGAAACCCAGAGAATTCAATGGAATAAATGAAAGTTTAATTAAACATAGGTAAGTAGCTAATAGAACATGGTCCTCACACCCAGATGGAGGAGGTAAGAAGAATAAGAAGTAAGTAGAGACTGTGTTGGCTGCTTCTGTCCTAGAATTCTTAGGATAGCCTTGAAATCTATGCTCTAGGCAGACAACTGCCTGTAGGCAGAACATAGCAATAACAATAGCAGTTAGACTTAAATACCGCTTCATAGGGCTTTCAGCCCTCTCTAAGCGGTTTACAGAGTCAGCATATCGCCCCCAAAAGTCTGGGTCCTCATTTCACCCACCTCGGAAGGATGGAAGGCTGAGTCAACCTTGAGCCGGTGAGAATTGAACTGCCGAACTGCAGATAGTCAGCTGAAGTGACCTGCAGTACTGCACCCTAACCACTGCGCCACCTCGGCTCTTAGAATAGAAGGGATCTCACATTTAAAATTAGATTTCCTTACACACAAGTCCTTATCTGGAATTTCTTTTTTTTCCTTTTTTGCAACGGAATGACCTCCGATGAGGCAAAGAGTAAATGCTTGAAATATTTTTTAAGAGGGCACATGCTGCCTACTGGCATTTGCCAAATAAGCCCAGTTTTTGTTGGTGGCAGTTGACTCCAGTTCTTGAGTTGGGGTGAGGCTGTAATGTTAGAAGATCTCATGTTTAAATGGAAAGGGTAAATATTTGTGGTCGTATTACTTTAGTTAGACTCTGTATCATGGCGAATGCCCCTCATTCCAGACACACACACTTCCTGTGTGGTTACGTAATGCACTGTTTTAGATAGTTTTCACGCTAGAATAATCTATATTACTCCTACTTGACTCAGTGGGAGAATGTTTTTCTTTGTCTTTTTGAGTCAACCTAAAATTCTGACAAATGATGAGGTGCAGTATGAATTATCATGTTTTGGATACGTTATATAAATTCTAAACTTTCTTAAGAAGTTTTTAATGTTGGGAATTTGAAAGAAAGAGAAAGAGGGAAACCAATAAGACGGGGTATAGTCTCAATTGGCCTAGGACCTGGATATCTCCGTGACCGCCTCCTGCCACATACCTCCCAGCGCCCAATAAGATTTCACGGGATGGGCCTTCTCCGGGTGCCGTCGACTACACAATGTCACCTGGCAGCTCCTCGGGGGAGAACCTTCTCTGTAGCTGCCCCGGCCCTGTGGAACGATCTACCCCCTGACATTTTGTATGGATTAGTAAATGCCTGCGCTATGTTTAATATTTTTCCAGCATAACTCTCTTTTGGCAAGGAAATATTGTAAGGTTTTATTAGAATGACTTATTTTACTTTATTTCAAATTTCTGTCTCAACTGCATCTTTATATTTTCTTTTTGTTAGAGTCACTTATTGCTACATAGTTGGATATTTTCCAGCTGTTCAAATTTTCATACCGTATATGCAGCTAGGATGTACAAAATTTTAATGTATAATTTGAACCTTATAGCATTTGCTGTTATTCTGTTTTGCAGATGCCAGGCAATATCAGCACTGCATGTTTATCTGCTCAGGTTATAAGTTTATTGTAGAAAAAAATTTGCAAAATGGTAATCCACACTTACCTTTAAGTTGTAATATTTTTCGAAAGAAAGGATATTCTGTGTTATGAGTTTTGGTCTTTTTGCTGTCAATACTTTTTTTTGGAAGTGCTTTTCCTGAAAACAGGAAAGAATGCAAAGTTAGTCCTCAGGTTTAGTTGAAGAAATTAATGGCATGAAATTATCCTTTGACTCAAAAAATCCTTTGCTTGGCTTTTCAAGAAGTATGAAAGGGAAATATTGGATGAATATTTTTTTCTTAGGATTTAATCCCAGTTGTGATCAATTCCCTTTTCTCAGTGAAACTCTATTTCTCATTTCATACAATTTCAAAAGATACTATTGACATTTTTCTCTATGTAATTGTTAGAGGGGAAAGGTTCTACAAGGCAAGAGAGAAGAATACACATTTAACACAGTACACATTCTTACACACAGTACAAGGTGGAGGGGGGCAGGATGTCCTGAAGACCATTGAGTAGTACATATTCACATAAAGTGAGATTTCATTTGGGTATTAGATAAGAGTGCTTCAAATGATGACAACAGAAGTACTTTGGGTCGGTTCACTGACAAATGCGCGCTCGACAAAAGCGCTCCGACGAAACCGCAGCGAAAAAACCACGAGTTCTAAATCGCGCCAACGAATGAGCGCAGAAGTGCACTGACAAAAGCGTACCTTCAACGAACAAGTAATAACCGCGAGTTCTAAACCTAACCCTAAACCTAACCCTAAACCTAACTCTAAACCTAACCCTGAACCTAACCCTTACCTTAACTGAAATCCTTACCTTAACTGAAATCGTGCTTTTGTGGGCGCGGTTTTGTCGGCGCGTTGTTGTGGGCGCGTTTATGACGTCGGTTTTCTCGCCATAGTTTTGTCGGCGGGCTTGTGTCGTGCGCGCATTTGTTGGGTCACGCTTTGGGACAGTCCCAAAGCTTGAGAAGATGGTGAATCAGTTTCATTGCCTGATAATGGTATATCAAATAAAAGAGAATTTAAAAAACTGCCAAGTGTACTTTGCTGATGCCCTAAATCTTGATGATGCAGGTAGGGATGGAAATGTTCCCAGTTAAATTTATTTGATGGCTGAACTGTGGCTAGTTCAAAATTTCATTTTTGTGTCTAATTGAGTGCAGAATGTTATTAGGTTTAGGTTTATTAGATTTATATGCTGCCCTTCTCCCAAGGACTTATTAATTACATAACATATATAATAATACATCCAGTTGACCGAAGTTCCTTTAAGTCTAATACTTGGAAATGTGCAGTTATTTCTCCTTTAATCAGTTTATTTGAAGCAAAGAGAGCAATTTGTTTTCCATTGTTCTTATTATTACTTCCTGCTTCTAATTTTAGAAATACTGACTTTTTTGTTTTTCTTTCCTTTTTACCTTCTCAGATGAACGGGACAAAGTCCAAAAGAAAACGTTCACAAAATGGATAAACCAGCACCTCCTGAAGGTCAGAATATTTAGATTCATTCAACTTTGGGGTACATTGGATGCCGTAATGTTTTACTAAGGTGGAATGGAACATTTATTTAATATTTATATATATAAAGAAAGGATAATACTCAAGATGATGATAGCAGCCCAGTTCCAGACATACCTGGAAGAGACTGTTTTTCTAGAACATGCCTGGTCATCCAGCTTGATTATCTCATTTGATGAGTCTTCTTTAGAGAAGCATAATTATTCATTATTTGTCAATATTCCATGTCATGTTTGTACAGATAGTCCCTGACCAGTGGTGGGTTTCAAAAATTGTTCGAACCTACTCTGTGGGTGTGGCCTTCTTTGTGGGAGTGGCTTGCCGCCCATGTGACCGGATGGGAGTGGCTTGCCGCCCATGTGACCGGATATGAAGATGCCGACGACACTTGTCNTAATTTTGCTAACAATTTGAATGTAGTCCCCTCTTGATCTCGAGGCCCTTGGCTGAAGCCTAGTTAGCCTATAGGAAAATCCGGCCCTGGGCATTGAAGCCACTTGTCTGGAGATGACGCTCGAAGTATATGGTTTCCATCCTAAGCAAGATCTCTCCCTTCCATCTTGATTTCGTTTCGGCCTGGACACTTAAGGAAGAGTAGCTAATTTTGAGGAGAGATGCTCTTTCAGGCAAACATTTATCATTTGCTTCCCCTGCTTTGAAATGCTACAAAAAATCCCTCACCGAAGCAGCACCGCAGGTCATCTGTCATCCTCCAGAAGATTGAAGAGGCTTCCTTGCGCATTTATGTTGGCAATTCCAAGCCAGAAAAGAACATTTTGTACCGTGTGGATACACTAAATCCTTGAATTATAAAATCAATCCCTCCCAGATGCTTCTATTACGGGTTTCCTGCCACTTGGGTCGGAGGAGGCGAGAGAAAGGTTGACCTCTCTTGCCTGGACCAGATTTCTCAGACAGCTTCTTATATCTGCCTGTTTCAGCCTATTATGGGATGGATGTCTTTCTGGGAGAGGCCTCTTGTGCTCCTCGCATCCAAAGGTTGGCTCTTTTCTTTCTTGTGCAGCTCTTTTAAGTTCTGCCGCGAAAGTTGCTCATTTGATCAGAAAGGACGCTGGGAATGTCATGGCCAGGGGTGAGGAGAAAAATGTGCTTTTCTTCTTCTTATTTTGTCCAAGCAAAAATAAATTTAAACTCTCCTCTGCAGAAGAAAGTCCGATCCTTTGATTTTGGTTCTGGAACCAAGGCATTTTCAACACTGGGATGGCGACATAGAGTAGCTTTTCCATGCCATGAACTTTGAACTCTCTTGCTATTGAATTGATTCTTTCTGTAAATCCAGAGGTACATTTTTAATAAATATGCTTGCTTCTTTCTTTCTTTCTTTTTTCTTTCTTTCTTTCTTTCTTTCTTTCTTTCTTTCTTTCTTTCTTTCTTTCTTTCTTTCTTTCCCCTCCTTCCTTTCCCTCCCTCCCTCCCTCCCTCCTTTCTCCCTCTTTTTCCTACCCTCCTTCCTTCCTTCCCTCCTTCCAACTGCCTTCCTGTCTGCCTTCCTGCCATCCTCCTTTCTCATCTCCCTCCCTCTACCCTTCCTTCCTTCCTTCCTTCCTTCCAACTGCCTTCCTGTCTGCCTTCCTGCCATCCTCCTTTCTCATCTCCCTCCCTCTACCCTTCCTTCCTTCCTTCCAACTGCCTTCCTGTCTGCCTTCCTGCCATCCTCCTTTCTCATCTCCCTCCCTCTACCCTTCCTTCCTTCCTTCCTTCC